TACGAGCACCAATCGATTGGCCAACCTAGTACATCGAGGTCCGAAGTTTCATTTTCAACAAGGGTTGAGCCTACCAAACGTCACCGAGAGATCTTGACGAGCACTTAAGAGGCACTAGCAAGTCTTATGTTGATCGTTGAGTTGGAGTTGTATACTTATTCCATCCTTTTTTCAAGCGACACTCGCAAAGTTCGACACCACCGTGGTTGCTCTCGACTTGGATGCATCTCATACACTGCTTGGGAGATATTGTTCTCTATCGGCGAGGATTAGTCGAAAGAATACTCGGTTAGAGGACGAGTTTCGAGTTATGGTGGATCGGTTTGCCTTCTTGAAAGAAATGGGTCTCACTCTCTTTTATGATGGCACAAAGACTCTTGACACGAGTGAGGACATCGACGTTTTCGTTGTAAGAGAAATCTCCTCCGAGGTTTAGTGCTTCTCCTTCGAGGAGACACTGGAATGGTATTAAATATATTTTTAGGTATCTTTAAGGTTTACGGGATCTTTGTTTACTTTATAAGAATAACCAACATTAGTGGGATATTCATATGTTGGTTATATGTCTGATCCCCATAATGCCAGATCTTAGACTGGTTATGTTTTCCTCTGTTGTGATACTGCTATTTCTTGGAAGTCGGTCAAGCAGTCCATGCTCACTACATCTTCAAACCACTTAGAGATAATTTCTTTATACGAGACGTGACGAGAATGTGCATGGTTAAGATCTTTAATCCAACGTATACGTGGGACATGTGGAATTACAAATGATACAACCCCATTGTCCTTTTACGACGACAATGCAATTTGTGTTTTTACAAATGAGTAGTGGGTATGTTAAAGGAAGCATAACAAAACACATCGCTCCTAAATCCTTTTACCCACATGAGCTCCAATAAAGTGGCGAGATTATTGTACAACAAGTACGGTCTAGCGAGAATTTGACAGACCTATTCACCAAATCTCTTCCTACATATACTTTTTAAAAAATACATTTATGATATTGATATGCGTAAAATGGAAAGACAATTGTCTTCAGTGGGAGGGACAAACTCAAAAATAATCCCCAAGATTAGGTCCTAAAGACCACACGTTGTCTCTTTTTTCCTTACTAAGTTTTTTCCATTGGGTTCATTAGTTAGAAGTTTTTAATGAGACAACTAGTAAAACACATGAATTTTTATAAATCATGTACTCTTTTTCCCTTCACTATTTTTTTTTTCTCCTGCCGAGTTTTTATTAGCAATGTTTTTAATGAGACATGTAATAATGTCCAAGTGAAAGTATAATAAATATATTATTGTGTGGACATATTACTAAAATACTTAATGAGCGTGAAGCTCCATTAGGTAATTTAGATTAAAGTTAGGTCTATTTTCTACTCATCTTTCTCTCGCAACTATCTCTTATGCTTGGTGGATTGTTGAATACTTGGTGAATATTGAGGATTTCTATTTACAACACATTTGTCTCCATGTATACAGAATTATTACAAATTTAGAGTTGAATAACAGATGCATCCCAGACAACACATGGAAATGCTCCTTTTCATAGACATAATAGTGTGATGGGCACAAAATTAAATACATTTAGAAAATTCTAATATACATGGAAAAACACAAATAGCTCACAGCTCATTGTTTAACTGTATAACTACAGACTAATCAAGATAAACAAAACTGCTTCCCACATTCCTACAAAGCCGACTAAATTACATACAACGGTTTTCATCCTCTAAACCTCAATCTGTACGGTGTTTATATAGGGAAACGCAAGAAAGTAACTACCTACTTACACAATCTTTTTGACCGGGTTTCTGGTTTGGGTTCGATTGCCTACTTACGCAATCTTTTTGCCGGGGCTTCTGGTTTGGGTTCGACCTGTCATGATAGGAACATTGTCTGTCAGAGAACATTTAGGATTAGCAAATCACAAAAAATGTTATTCCATTTGCTACATTAAGCAAGTGTTTAAAGGAGTAACGACGAGGGGGTATTCTAAACCGAAATTAAAATGAGGTTTAGCATACTATGTGAAAACTGAAAAGGGTATTATCCCTTATCTATAACTCTCTTAAATCTATATCTATAACTCTAGTTTTTTTGAAAACTTTTGAATTGCCAAAAATACCAGTATTGAGGATAATTACTAAGCTTACATATTAAATAAAGTTGATATTAGCTTCCAATTAACAATAAAAATTTATCGTTACGCGGGAACAAATTTGTCATTCTTCACTAAGTATGAAACAAAAGGAAAATATTAGGAAACTATATAGAAGAGACGACAACAATGATCATCATTTCAAATGGTAGTGAGGATAGAATTAATTTACAAAATCAAAGACGGCTGGAGATTTCTTTAGTAGTCAAAATTTCATAAAAAAAATACTTCGAATTTTCCACATAAATATTTATTTACTTTTATATCTCATAGCTTTAGTTAAAAACTAGGAAGTTGCACGTGCGACGCACGTGATTATTAATATTTTTATGATTTAAAAGTTATATTTTTATTGAACTTATGCTTTAAATTCAAAATTTTTTATTTGGTTAATAAAAGAGGAAACACGTGTATAATAAATTATATAAATGTATTGGTACTGAAACATTAGTTTTAATGTTTTTTAATTTGTAGTTAAATATAAAAATAATTTGTGTTAAATAATACAAAAATGAAATCAATCATTTTTTCAGTGTTAACGAAATCTTATTTATCTATCACATTGTCTTCGTCATTGTTTGAAACCATGGTTTGTAATAATGATCATTGTTGTCGTTATTGTTAATGATGTAATATTTTTATATCTGGCGATTACATTTAAAAGTTATCTTTTTATTAAATTTATGTTTAAAATTCAAAATTTTTCATTAGTTAGTAGAAGAGGAAACACATGTATGCTAAATTACATAAATGTATTGGTACCTAAACATAATTTTTAATGAAATTAAAAGCTATAGTTAAATAAAAATAAATAAATGAATAATTTTGTGTTAAAAATCCAAAAATGAAACAAATCAATTTTGCAGTGCTAACAAAGTCTCATTTATACGTCATCTATTAATTGATGTTGTCTTCAACATGGTTGAAATCATGATAATTGTCGTCGTTATTTTTATTCATGTGATATTTTTATATCTTCTTGTCATTGTTGTTTGTAGCGATTGCATTTAACTGTTAACTCAATGTTAATGTCGTTCGGACGTTTTCTTTTATTATTATTTTTATTGTAATTGATTTAAGCCAAAAATAACCATGCATTATACAAATGTAAAATTTTTATTTTAAATATTTTTCCTTAATTAATATTTATATATATATATTATTCTATTACTATACTATATTTTTATTTCCAACTTATTAAGAAAAAAGATTCCGAATAATATATTTAAGTTCACCTTTAATAATGCATATAAATGTATTTTTATGGTAATATATATTGAATGTATCTTAATTCAAAACTTCAAAACATATTAGCGTTGTCAGGATATTTTCTCTTGCTATATTTTTCAATTGCGTTGTTACAATGAAAAGTATTTTTTGTTTTTTACTTAATTTTGGTCTATAACATATAAAACTTGAAATATGAGGTATGCTTGCAAGATCATTCTTAATAGTTAGGTACTTTTTATTTTCCTAGATGTAGTGATATAAAATATAAAAATTAATTTGAAAAATATTAGTGAATAATAAAAAGATTGAAGATACTTAATATGTAACAAAATATAAACAACCAATGTGTTTATCGAACATTGTTACATATGCAAACTCTTTTTATACGGACATTCCAGACTATTGTAAACATTATTAAAGACTTAAAATATTTATAAATTAATGCTACTTTTAAGTAATATTTTTTCATGACATTATAACGCGCATTGGTCCAAACAATAACTTTGGATCTTATATGAGCTCATTGGCGAAAGGGAAAATGTATCTTGTTGATACAATTTATATCAATGTAGTATATTAAGCTTTCCCAATTGCATCATGGCCCCATTGCATCATGGCCCCAGGTATTATAATATTGTTAATAATGGTTACGTTTTCTTTTATTATTTTTTGCTTTCACTCTTTTATTATTTTTTTCTTTCAAATAAGTGAGGCGTAACAATTTTTGAATGAATATGACATGAGTAATATTACAAATAACACTGACTATGACATCGAATATTAAGTAAACATATTCATCACTTTCAGTTACATGATTCTAGTGATAACTATTTTGTAAAAATTAGATTTATATTAAAAATTTATCATCGCATACTTGTTATTTTATTTTATTTTTGTATAAATTTTTTTTTTATCGTACTAAAATTAAAATAAATCATATACAAATCCAACACATATCATTATGGAAAAGGTGAACTTAAATTATATTATTATGAATCTTCCAAAATTTTAGCTATCTCAAAAGAAAATCAATGATAATAACGAAAGTAACCTTATTAACCAAAAAGAATAATGTTAATAATTTATTATTTAACTAACTTAATATTTTGAGATAATTTGAATAATATGATCTGCAATATTTTTTAAAATAATTTAAAAACTTAAAAAAAAAAAAAAAAAAAAAAAAAAAAAAAAAAAAAAAAAAAACTATTTCTGTTAATGGATTTTATGTTCTTTTACTAAATAAATAAATATTTAAAATTTAAAAAGTTAAAGGAGGATTATATTTTGGCTTCTATCATTTTTAAACAATATAATACTTGATAATACTATTATTCAATTTAATACTATGGAGGAATTATTGAAAAATGAATGTTAATATTTGTAACTCCCTAACCCTAACATTAGTGTTAAAATAACATTAGTACCTTAGAAGTAAATTATAGTGAAGGACATATTTGGCAATCCAATTATTTCAATAAACAACTCTCCCTTTTAAAGGAGTTATAGATTATAGATTATAGATTTGAATATTATATTGAGCATTCAAAATATTTTTTATTGTTTATCATCAAATATATCCTGTTTTGTCAAATTAACGGGAAGATGATCGAATTATACTAAAAGTAAACAGAATTTTAACACTAATGTTAATTAATAGCATAAGGTTCATGGTGTAACTGAAAAGAGTAAATTTGGATCGAAAAGAAGACTGAAAACAGGTCCTTCAAAAGGATTCCTATTTTCAGTTTTAAACCAAAAAAGATTTGTTTTTTTCTAGATGTTTTCTGATGTTTTCGATAAAACCTTCTCGGAAAAGTATTTTAACAATATTTTCTGTAATATTAGTAAATGCTATGCGAACAATTTTCTATCCATATCAGCATTTCATATAGAGGTTATTATCTCAGAAATAGTGTTTCTACCTATGATAAACTAAAATTATTGGTGTCCCAAAATTGGATATAATCAACATGTTTTTTACTTATTCCTTATATATTCATGTCATCAAGACTTGTGGACACATCTCTATTCATAGTCCTTATGTGACTGAAGTTGCCGACAAAGTTAAAATGTCGAACAAATATCATGTATAAGACACAAAGACTTACCGTATTTGATAGTTGCTCACGGATGTACGCCATTGATCTCAACATGGCGCCTAAAGTGTCCCTTGACAACTGAAATTTCACCTCTGATTCTACTGAAGTTGTCACTGGATCTTGAAGCTGAACAGCCAATTATATAAAAAAAAAAAAAAA